GGTCTTTATCATTGTTCCGACTGTCACTGACTTAGTCTGTATCATTGTTCCGACTGCGAGTGACTTAGTCTCTATCATTGTTCTAACTGTGCGTAATTTGGTCTGTATTATTGTTTTGTCCAATGTTCCTTCAGTGATTGACTACTCTATTTTGATAACTATTCTTATTGTGAGTTATATTGATTAATGTCGAGATTAAATGATTAGTTGTGACCATTGTCTTTACCGTGATTGACTAATTTTGTTACTGTTTTTGACTAAAAGTGAATAGACTTAATGAGTCATTAGACTGTAAGTGGCTAATTCTGACCAATTGTGTGACAGTAAGGAGTTATATTTTACCGATCATTTGATTGTTAATGGGTAATGTTTACCAATTGTTTGACTATAAGTGGTTAATTTTGACCAATCATTTGACTATAAGTTTCTAATTTTGACCAACTGTTTGACTTGAAGTGGCTAATTTTAACAGTATCTTGACTGTAAATGCCTCATTTTGACTAGTTTCTTGACTGTAAATGGTTAATTTTGACCAATTGTTTGACTTTAAGTGCCTGGACTTGACCATTTGTTTAACTATAAGATGTTGATTTAACGAATTGTTTGACTGTAAGTGGCTACAGTTGACCAATCGTTTGACAGGAAATGGTTAAGTTTGACCAATTGTTTGGCTGTAAACTGCTATATTTGACCAAAAGTATGACCTTAACTGTTTTTATTTTGACGAATCGTTTGACTTTAAATAGCTAATCTGGACGGTATGTGACAAGTTTGGACCAATCGTTTGACTGTAAGTGGCTAATTTTGACCAATCGTTTGACAGTGACTTACTAATTTTGACCAATGGTGTGATTGCGAGTAATAATTTTGATCACTATCCTGACTGATTACTGCTCCAAGTCTTAGTGTCCAATATTGAGTGCACGACGTCTGTCCTAGCCACCACATCCAGAGGTGAGGTTCGGTGAACTAACAGGCTACTACATTGGCTACAAGATAGCGGGAGCATCGGATTCCTTCGTATATAAAACGTTAAGCCTGAATGATAAAGCTACAGTGGAAGAAACACACTTGACCAATCTCCGTCGTTTCACCAAATACAAAGTCGTAGTCCAGGCTTTCAACAACAAAGGGGCTGGACCACCTTCAGACGAAGTTTTTGTACAGACTTTTCCAAATGGTAAGTTGAGATGATCGCTACAACACACGATACTTCATAATAAATGATAAACTAATGTTCATTGATGTATTTCTTGAAATTCTAGGCTAAGCTCGGCACTTGTAAACGGTAAGTGTACTAAATAACTACAACACACACTTCTATCCACTGTTTTCGTTGTTTCTTAGAGTTATAAGCGCTGACTAAAGCACTGAGTTACAAACCTCCATGCAAACTTGTGTTGTTAGATGCTTACTGTTTAGGCTTCGAGCTTCCTTCGTGAGTAATGTATATGAACATCCGGAAATACAAATCACCCATAGTTTCACCAAACTTTAAGAACACTTCTGGAAGCCAGTATCTTCGTTCTGCGACGACCATAAACTCACACCACATTACAACTATTCTCTGGAAGCAGGAGATTAATGTTGTCAAATTATAACTATTTTTGTGTTATTACTTTTTTTACAAATACCCACTTGATGTTTCTGCGAAACAAATCGTGAAAAAAAACCCTTGTAAATGACCCTGGCTACCACAATATGCAACTTTCCACTTATTTCATGTATTAGCTCACCATTTCTAATGGAAATCTGAATGATGTGATATACAGAATGACACTTCCACAGAATATTCCCCATTCCACTAACATATCTGTCAATTTTTCCACGAACATTCTGGAACTACGAGTACTGCCATTTTTTACATAATTTCACATTTTTGTGTAAAATATATTGATAATTCTCTTGTGTAATGGATTATTGGTCTTGAAGCTTTTGAACTATTTTACTAACAGCTCAGTAAATATCATCATCCATCCAGTTCAGTAAAATATTAGAAGCTGGGGAAAAAACCCCTGTTCTTGACTTCTGTGTAATAAAAGAAAACGGAAATTTTGAAGTAAGTTTGACAGAAAACCAATTCATACCAACATCTTCTCACGCTGTTTTCTTTTCAAGCAACCGACAGCTAATAAAAGCTGACGTTATGAGATGTTTGGCAAGCAAAGCTAATCTTTCGTCGAGTGGACATTATTTTATAGACACGAAAAAAATATGTGTCTTCTATAAGATCTTTGAAGTTAAGGGCTAGCGTTCAGACCATGTTGAATAACTTCTTGATTCAAAAGAATCGTATGTTAAGATAAGAAAACTCTGGCTCAAATGAACCTGTTTGTGTTTCTCTACCTTACAATGTTATGAACAAGAGAAAGGTCTATTGTAGTTAGTATCAAGACCAGTTTTAAAACATGATCGACTCAGAGAAAGTTCTTGTACAAAATAGTGTTTTCATGATTTAGTGTATAACATTCCATGGTCCTCCAAACTGGAGATACGATGACACCAAACGGACATTAAAATGACCAGGCTCTTTTAACAACAAAGTTTCTATTGTCTGAATACGACATTTCTCGGGTCATCAAATAACGTCAAAAACATCCACGAGCTTGTGAAAGAAGGGAAGGATCCATCCTGAATAAACACTAGGCCTGGTGTAGCAGATATAAAAACCAAGAATCCGTCATAATTAGACACTAGATACTGGGTGTATAAACAAAGAATACATCTTGATTGGACAGTATAGGGACTTGATGTAGCAGAGGTATAGACAAAGAATCCGTCGTGATTAAACACAGGTATAAACAAATAACTGGGACGAAAGGACATCAATTTTATGTAGACAACGTTATTAAATTTGCTCTCTGAGTTTTTAATCAGAAAAAGAGCATATACTTCCTCAATAAAATCATTGTTGTCACAAATTTCTTAATTGATTAATCAATACCAATAAAATAACAATAAATCCTACGAAACAGTGTATATACGTACTGCTTCCCCTATAATAAACAACGATGTGTATGTGTCATATGTTAGAAATATATTCCAAGTGTTTAATATTTTGAACAATACAGTTTGTCGAGTTTCCTCAACTTCTACCATTAAACTATTCAGAGAAAGTTACGTTCGTATTCTGAGTCTTTTTAGTCTTAAACATTACAAGTTTATCCACTTCCAGTAAGGAGTTAGCCTGGTAAGGTGACACTTTAACAGTAGTATATATTTGTTAAAAGCACTTGTTTTATCAGATCTTTCTTAGATACTTACGTTGAAGAAATTTCACTCATAGTGTGAGTTTGTAAATTATTACACAATGTTGTTGAGACTTCAAAGGTTCACAAAAAATGGGTTTTTTACCGTTACGAAACGTTTTAGTAATGTCTCATTTTCCATAGAGTGCTTTAAGTTCGTCTTTTTCTTTTTATCAGATCCGTGTGTAAAACTTTGTGTCATATTTTTTATTGATATTTATGCTAATCTTTCAGATCCTCCCGTGTCACCTAAGTTAAACGTCGTTGGCTCCTCTACTTCCAATATTCGACTATCGTGGGAAGGGAACACTCTGAGTAACGATCCTGTTTCCGGTAGATGTTCTTTTGTTCCATGTTCAGAATATATATATATATATATATATATATCACTAGTATGAGAAATAACACCACATTGTTCTCCTTTAAAAGAATAAAAAATAGCTACATGGCTCTCAGAAAATTAAGAAATAACTTAATTATAGTTTGTCCAAATATACAAGTTTTAAAAATTTCTCAGATGAAACTTTTTATAATGTCCTGCTATCAATTACACACGAGATAACTATGACTATCAACACACTGGCTAACAAAGTCCCAAATACATTTCAACCATTTATTGTCTGCTACTTTCTTCAGCAGGTTGCGCTGTAAGAATAACCATCAGATCCCTCTATTCGATCAGACAAGAGCCCAAGAGTTGGCAGTGGGTGCTGTTAACTAGCTGCGTTCTTTCTCTAGTCTAGCAGTTCAAAATTATATAGCCCTTGTTTATCCCTAAACCATACCACTTTCCAGCTGGAAGGCGTCATGGTAGCAACAAACACTAATTTCAGCGCACATTTTGGATGGTTTTCAACTATTTTCTTCATCTTTTGTCTTTTTTGAGACCAAGTTATCTGCTTTATTGCAAACGAGCGCATAACACCGACTTCAAACATGAATAATTGTTTCTGTAACTAAAAATGGGATAGTTGAGTTTGAAACATGTATTTACAGATATAATTTATTTTTGACCAAAGGATAGGCTATTTCTCTGCAAACGAGACAGTTAAAATATAAAGTATGTGTTCAATGCTTTCTTTGTTTTGAGTATTAAAAATTCTCTGCAAACAGGAAAGTTAAGATTGAATGTTGTGTTTAATAATTTGATTTCTTTTCTTTACAATAGGTTATCTCCTCTATTATAAATCTAACAATGAAGAATGGAAAGAAAGGTCACTCCCTGGAAATAATAAGAAATACACAGTTGAAGGCTTAAATTGCGGATCTCATTATCAGCTCTATCTCCTGGCTTTCAATTCCGCTGGAAAAAGCGAACCCAGTGAACTAATTAGCACAAAAACTGAGGGCATGGGTAATAAAACATTATGTTTTAGAAGGTATATTAACAGGTTAAATAGAAGAACTTACTGAGGCACTATTGTAGGTTAAGCCGAAGACATTACTGAGGCACTATTGAGGTTAAGCCGAAGACATTAATGAGATACTATTGTAGGTTAATTCGATAATATTAATAAAGCAATATTGTAAGATAAACTGTAGGCATTAGTGAGACACTGCTGTTCGTTAAACGAATACATTAGTGAGGTACTATTGCAGGTCAAACCTACAACATTTTAAGCTTTGCCGAGGCGTTAGTGACATACTGTTGTAAGTTAAAGTGAAGACACTGGTGAGGTACTATTGTTGGTTAAACCGAAAACGTTAGTGATGAACTATTGTAATTTTAACCTAAGACATTAGTGATGTAACATTGTTTGTTGAACCGAAGACATTGTAGGTTAAACATGATATATTAGTAAGATATTTCATAATGTTAGTCCGAATGTTAGATTCCATATTGTAGCTTGAGTCCAGGATATGAAGGCGATAGCTTAGTATGATCGAGGACATAGTTTAATTGTTACAGCACTTTCATACTGATTATGACATCGTATCTTTACAAGGTGATTCCAAAGAAAGCATCATACTCCACAAACTGTATGAGAAAGGTGAACTTGCACAGGAGTGTTAAGCATGTTATGCGGTTGTAAATTTCCACATTTGGAACCGCATGATACCCTTAACACACATGTGCAGTTCCACTTCCCTGTGACATACCGTTTGTGAGGTATGACGCGCTTAAATGAGAAATGTTTTATTTTATATAATCACCCTGTATAATGTACACTATCTTGTCTGTCTAATATCCTTCCAAAGTTTGGTCCTTGCATCACCAAAAACGGCCAGGATAATAACCCCGACCAGGGCTTAGATTTTTGGAATACCCGCATCCCAACCCCAAATGGCTTAATGTTGATAAGCTCGTCACAAGCCAATAGTAAATACCTAACTGCTACGTACACAACTCATCCATACCATAATTCACAGTTTGAATGAGATATTAAAATATATATTCAAAAATTAATTTCTGGTCGGTATCTCATTTTCGCCATGCTCACCTTTAGTTATACTTCTAAACGGTAATCAGTAGGAAGGGAGTCTGCTAGTGTTTAACGGTTAGTAATGTAGTTTGGAGTTTTCAAGTTTTGAAACAGTTTCCATTCTACACATTGGGAGGAGGAATTTATATTGTGTAAATACTTTGTTAATAAAGTTTTATAATTCAAACATTTATCAAGTAATAAACATAGGACCTGTTTAACACTGCATGTTTTGTATATTTTTAATTCTAAGCCTCAGAGATGCAAATATTAATAGAGTTTTTAGCATAGCATTTTCTGACACTCATAATAAGATTTTTTAACAAACAGCTCCCGTTGCACCCGAAAAACAGTCCTTATTGGTCACCAACAGGACTTCCGTCACAGTCCTTTTAACTTCCTGGCATGACGGTGGCTGTCCAATAGAATCCTTTAGTGTCAGCTACAAGGTCCACACAGAAGATTCCTGGAGGACTGTGTCCAGTAGCATTTCCGGGGACCAGAAACAGGTAACCATTCCAACTTTAATACCTGGAACTCGATACGAAGTGAAAATCACTGCTCAGAACAAGGCCGGCTCTACGGAGGCTGAGTACTCTTTTGTCACAGTATCTACGTCAAAGAGTAAGTCAATTATTTTTTTTTTACCATAAAACCTATGGCAAGGGTTATAAACAGTATTTGTTTATAGTTACCGTTCCAACTTATAAACCAAATACTCATGTGTTATATTAAGTATGCAAAATATTAATAATAACTTGAATAAATAACATTTTTGAAATTATGATTTTTAAAATAGCTCAGTAAAGCAAATATATTTAAATAATTTGCAAGCGTATAACACTCTCAAAATTATTATTAATAACATTAAAATATTCATCTTTAACCTCATAAATTCTACCAGTATGCAAAGCATTAAAAATATATGTGAACGAATTCAAAGCTTATAGAATAACTTTGTTAAATAAAATGATTTTTCTTTTAAAGCTTTACTTTCTTTTCCTCTAAACATGTCAGTCTTTCATAACAGTTTATTAACCTTGCTCTGAAAGCTATTAACATATATCTGATTATTAGTAATATTTTACAGAAGGGTATGAAAATTATCAACCTTAAACAGAAGGTTATGAAAATATCAACCTTAAACAGAAGGTTATTAAATTTCCTTTGTAAAATATTAACGTTCAACAGAAGGTTATGAAAATTATCAACCTTAAACAGAAGGTTATTAAATTTCCTTTGTAAAATATTAACGTTCAACAGAAGGTTATAAAGCTTATTATCTTCAGCAAAAGGATGTTAAATTTCTGAAAACTATAAACCTTCCTCTGAAAGTTACAATATTCAGTAGAAAACAATTAATATTTTTCTGGAATCTAGTAACATTTATCTCATAATTATTAACATCCTACAAGAAGGTAAGACCGATCCTCTGAAAACTGTTATCTTCTGTGGAAGGCTACTAACCTTCTTTTGAAACATTTTAACCTTTCTCAGGACCTTGGTTACGCACGGGGCCCCATTTCCCACCTTAAATTGTGAAAACAAAAATTGACGTCACATCCTCTCCTTTGAAACTTATTTCTTGAAAAACGTCATTATTTATATTTTATATTAAAAGACAAAGGTTTTGTATTGAAAAAAAAATTAAACTTATTTCCGAAATAATAATGGTAAAAATAGCAGGCCCTATATTATTAATTGTCGCAGTTAGTAGGCGAAACCCTCAGGGACCCCAAACTGTGTTTAGACCTGAGTCCCTCAATGCCTAAGTCAAGCCTTGCCTTTATTCTGAAAATTGTATCTTCTTTTGAAAGCTATTAACATTGTTTTGGCTATTATTGTTCTTCTGAACGCTAATAAAGTTTTTTTTGAAGCTCTCAACCTCTTAATGGTTGCGGTATCCTTTCTTCGAGATAGTTACTCCTTCAACAAAGAGAAAGCTATTAACATTGTTTTGGTTATTATTGTTCTTCTGAACGCTAATAAAGTTTTTTTTTTTTTGAAGCTCTCAACTTCTTAATGGTTGCGGTATCCTTTCTTCGAGATAGTTACTCATTCAACAAAGAGAAAGCTAATTGAAATGTTTTAACAATCATTACTAGTACCTCCCATTGTTATTCATTCATTCCAACTACTGCTGTCGTTCCACAGTGTTCTCGACGCCTATCCCAATACTTATTGGAGAAAAAGTTCCATTTTATCTGGATTTAAATATTATCCTGCCTACTGGAGTGTCCTTTGTTGTGGTGGTCGTGGTCATGTTCTTGGTCTCTGCAATCGTTCGGCGACGCAGCTCCTCTGAAAGCTCAATAAGTGGTTCGTGTAATTTACTTATACTTGTCTGGAATTTTGAAAATGTACGCATATGTTTAAGATAAAAATGACTTTTTTTAAATTATGTAGAACAGTATATGTATTATATCATTTACTTGTATTGACGTATTATTGTGTACTCGTATATGTTCATTATGTACTCTTCTGTTCCCATTTTGTACTCATGGTTTCATAATGTACTTTTAACATTCGTTTTGTTCCTTTACACTCTTATAATATTGTGTATTCTTAGCTTCTCACCATATACTTGTAGCATCTCATTAAGTAACTGCCTAGGATGATATAATCGTGCTTTTGTTATGTATTTTTAGCTTCTCACTACGTACTTCTAGCATCTCATTAAGTAAGTGCTTGTGAATGATATACTTTTATTATGTATTACTAGCTTCTTACCATGTACTTGTAGCGTCTCATTAAGTAACTGCTTATGGATAATATAATATCATCGTACTTTTATTATGTATTCATAGCTTCTCACCGTGTACTTGTAGCATCTCATTAAGTAACTGCTTATGGATAATATAATATAATCATACTTTTATTGTGTATTCTTAGCTTCTCACCATATACTTGTAGCGTCTCATTAAGTAACTGCTTGTGGATGGCATAGGTAAAAATGACAGTTTTTTTTTGTCTTGGTATTTAGCATAAACTTTCTTTTTCTTACTTTTTATAATTTTCTTACTTCATACACAGAACCTTTTTCATTAAGTCTACATCATGATAAAATATTCTTTACTAAATAATGTTTTGTTTTTAAATCCAGGAAGTTCGGTGTATAACTGTCGGAAAATGCAGACTCGCGAAGCTGTCCAGCTAAGTAGTCTAGATAACCAGAACTCCATCAAAAAATCCTCAGCTTCACCTAGTCGAACTAAATCTTTCACGTATCCACAGCCTTATGCTACTACCCAGCTGTCTGGGTCAGAAGACAAGAAGTTGGGTGATGTCGACGATTACAGCTTAGTAAGTAGAAATATTTATTAACTCGGAAAGACTTACTAATTGTATGTTATTTATCAGTTGTTGTTGTTTTTTCGATTGAAATTGCCGGCACAAATGATTTCTGAGATTCTTTCAGTACAGTTGTAATTACTGTTGTTTGTTTTTAATTATGCACAAAGCTACACAAGGGCTATCTGTGCTCTGCCCACCACGGGTATCGAAACCAGGATTCTAGCGTTGTAAGTCCGTAGACATACCGCTGTGCCACTGGGGGGTTATTACTGTTGAACAAGTCATAATTAATATCATTTTATCCTTAGATGAAAGCACTTTTAATATTTAGATTTTTCAGGCTGCTAAAAAAAAAAGTTATATTTAAAAAGGGCGAATTACGTTCTTTCATTCCAAGATAAAATAAGTTTTAGTAAAGTGTAATAGAATAGTTATTTTTATATGATGATGGAAAATCGTTTAAAAAAAAGTAACAGATGCATTTCTCTAAATGCTGAGTAAAACTCGGCATATTTAAAAGTGTTTGTTTGTAGTTAAGCACAAAGCTGCACAAAGGGCTATTTGTACTGTGCCCATCACGGATATAGAAACCCGGGTTATAGCGTTGTAAGTCCGCAGACGTGCCGCTGTGCCACTACTGGAGTGGGACTTTAAAAGGTGGCATGTAACTTTTCCATCGCACACGTTATAAGAGTAACGTTCTTCAGCCTGTTGATGATTATCTGTACCCTCCATTAAAGTTTAACTTATAATTTTCAAAAGGCTGCTAAGTTTAGCTATTAATGATGATGATGATTTTTTTACTCTCCGTTAAAGAATGAACAGACTTGAATTTCTACAAGATGAAGGTGACACCTTGTTGGAGTTACAAACAACATTGTTTCTAGAATGTGATGAAAAATCTTAGTACTGCTATTATTAAGTTGCAAACTGATTTTTATGAATTAATAATCAGTTTAAGAACTTGATCCGTAGATTTATTGAATACATTTTTTTCTCGACTTACTAAACAAAATAGTACAGAATAGAACGAAAATATATACTTGTCAATTGATTTTATTATTTTTATTAATAGACAGAAACATTAATTATTCGATTGGGTCTCTTTTAGGCTAAAGACGAACCTTTGTATGCTACTGTGAAGCGCACTCCTAGGCCTCCTCGATCAGAGGTTCATTTGTATGACTATGAAAGTAAGTTCATATTTTACTTAGTAGATGGCAGCACTTAATATGCAGCTTACTAATCTTGTACTATGGAACATTGTTTTAAAAACACTGAAATTTCTTCAGTTAGCAGTGTTTTTGATAGAAACAAAAATTGTTTTTTGAACTTTAATATTTAAAAGTATTTTGTATACTTGGTGCTTTAAAGATGCATTTATGATTCTATTCAATTATGATGAAAAAAAGTCATTGAAAACTTACAAATAATTTATATATTAGTTTATTAGAGTTCTGCTAATTCTTGTTCTGCCATTTACAAGGTGCTCATTTTCGTGAAAACTTTGAATGTATTATAAACAGCGTTAATAGTAACAGTAGAGGAGTAGCTATATTGTTTAGTAGAAAGTTTGAACTTAAAATTCAAAACTAAAGAAGGATTTAAAGAGTCATATTATTGTATTGGATCTAATTATAAATACTGAGCATTTTATATTAGCATGTATGTATGGACCAAAAATATATGACTCTAGTTTTTATGGTGAGGTAAGTCAAGTGATATTAGAGTTTAATAATCCATATAATATAATGAGTAGTGATTGGAACCTTGTACAAGATCAAGAGTTGGATGTAAAAGGATATCTGCATGTGAATAACACAAATGTAAGAAACAATATATTAGAAAATAATGGGCAATTTATGTGGCACATTTCGAGTGTTTTATCCAAATATTAACATTTTTAAATGATGAAAAAGATCATTTGAAAGAAGTTCATTTATATTTATTTTACATATATATCTCTTGATGACAGTTACAGCAGTGGTCATTCATCAGTTATTCAGCTTTTAATAAGTTTGCTCACAAGACAGGAATTTGAAATTTAGTACTTATTTGCTTAATGAAGAATATTTTCTAAATGGAGTTAAAGTATAAAACTGTTAAATGAATAGTATACAAGAAATCATGGTATTCTGTCGTTCAATCTTCACTTATTGTTTTATACATTATTGATTGAAATTAGAGTTATAGTATTTCATTTGAAAGTTATCAAAAATAAAAAGATCAGGAACTAGAAAATGAAATAATGACTTTGGCACAATTTTTGAATAAAAATACTTGTAAACGTGTAATGCATTATATGAAATATATAAAACAAATGCAACATTATTTAAAAAATAATATCGCATGAGAGTGAAGAAATAACTGAACAAAATTAAATACTAAGATATTAATGAAAACTAGAGATGACAATTTAGAGGATATTTATTTAGATATACTATTAAGATATTTATTTAGATATACTGTTAAGATATTTATTTAGATATATTATTAAGATATTTATTTAGATATACTATTAAGATATTTATTTAGATATACTATTAAAACATAAAAAATTGCCACTTTCTGTATAAAATACAGAAGAGCTAGAAATAGTTTATCTGAATGCGACTTATATGGTTTTAAAAATTAAAAAGATCCCCAGGCAGAAAGTGCAGGTTTTACAATTGAATTCTTTAAATTATTTTGGCATGATTTAAATCATCATATAGTAAACACAGTAAATGACGCACGTGAAGCTAAAAAAAAACAGTATAACATACAAAAACAAGGTATTATAAATCTTATTCCAAAACAGGATAAGTCAAGAATTATTTTACTGAATGGGAAACCAATTACTTTAATAAATCTTGTTTATAAATTAATTTCAGGATTTATATCTGAAAAGATAAAAACTGCGTTAGCGTTAGTTATTCATGAAGATAAGAATAGTTAGAGAAAATAGTGAGAACTGTAAATGATATTACAAGTTTTACCAAAAAAAATAATATATTAGGACTTTCACTATTATTAGACTTTAAAAAGGCTTTTGATACGTTTTTGTGGATGTTTTTAAATAGTCTTCGATGTATTTGAATTTGAAAACTCAATTGCACGATGGAGAAATGTTTTCCATAATGTTTTTAAGTGATTTTTCGAAATTAAAAGAGGATGCAGACAGGAGATGCGCTCTCTTTTTATTTGTTTACCTTAGCAACTAAAATACTAGAAATAATTCAAATGTACAAGAAATAAAAATAAGAGATAATAATTAATTCTCAGTATGTTTTTTGTTGTTGTTAAGCACAAAGCTATCTGTGCTGTGTCCACTGCGGATATGTGAACCCTATTTCAAGCGTTATTAGCTTTTACACTTGCAGCTGAGTCATTAGGGGTCTCAATGTGCAGATGATACAATAATAATTTAGGTGGAAATTATTAGTTGATCATGTTTAAGATTAAACTTCGAAAAATATAAATCCACTTGAACTGAAAGAAATATAAATAGTTTATTTATTGTAAATGCCGGTAAACAGTTAATAAAAGTAAAATAAGTTAGGATCTTAAAGTATTTGATATATTAAAACTTTTAAACAACTAGAAAAAACGCAAATGAACAGTCATTGGTAAAATTATCGTCGTTAAAAGTTTAATATTGCCTATTTTTTTGCAATACTTATAAATAATATGCTGCAGAAATTTAAATCTCTAATAAACCAGATAGAATATCTAAAAAAACATATTATTAAAATATAAGAAAATTTTAGTTTAAATATGATAGAACTTGAATCTTTCATTAAAGCAATAAAAGTACATAGATGTGTAGATTATTGAGAATATATAATGATAAAAGTTTCTCATCATCTTTTAAAAATATATATTCAAACATAAAAGACATAATAAGGTGCAAGAAAATAAGAAGTATCAGTTTTATGGATAGTATGCAAGATAAAGATATAAATAATCTTATCTTAGAACCACTATAGATGATGAATGGAATATATTTTATAAATTATCTTATTTTGGATAAAGGATCTTTTTTACAATTATTTTTAGATTCATAGATATCTGTTTGTTTGTTTTCAATTTCGCGCAAAGCTACACGAGGGCTATCTGCGCTAGCCGTCCCTAATTTAGCAGTGTAAGACTAGGGGGAAGGCTAGTCATCACCACCCACCGCCAATTTTTGGGCTACTCTTATAACGTTATAACGCCCCCACGGCTGAAAGGGCGAGCATGAGACTAGAATTTGAACCCGCGACCCGCAGATTGCGAGTCGAGCTCTCTAACCACCTGGCCATGCCGGGCCTTCATAGATATCTATAAATGCGATGCTTATATAACTGAATATTGGGGAATTGAAAATGTAATTAAAAAATACTTTCAAAATAATCATGTTAAGCAAAACAAAATAGTTAAATTACATAGTCCTTTTATGCCTAAACCAATATAATTTATTTTAAACTAATATAAACGATGCAAACAAATCTATAATTTATTTTAAAAAGGAGAGATAAAAATTTAGAACCAAAAACCTTTGTAAAAATGAAAAACATGTTTTCTTTCAAATGAAGATATATAAAATATTGAATGGTTTTATAAATCATCATTTATAATTTGAAAAGGTATGACTTAGAAGGTTTCAAGTAATATTTTTATATAGAATATTAAGTATAGGTAGCTTTCTGAACAAAATAAGGATTCAACAATATAATTTCTGTTATTTTTGTAACAAAAATAAAAGTTATAACGCCCCACAGTGACACAGCGGCATGTCTGCGGACTTATACTGCTAAAATCCGGATTTCGATACCCGTGTTGGGCAGAGCACAGATAGCCCTTTGTTTAGCTTTGTGCTTAATAACAAACACCGAAAAGTTATAACAGATTATTTTATTATTTAGAGATACAAACATTTTGGAGTGATTTAAAATCTCGTATTTTTGTCAGATTAAAACTACTGTCTTAAATTATATTGTATTTGATGATAAATCTTATATTTATAGAAGTAGATTAAAAAGAAAAAAGTCACTGGTACTACCTTTCATTAAATGGTTATAGACAACATATCAAACTGAAAATTATATTTCAATATAAATAAAAGTAAAGCAAAATTAATAAATAATTGGAAAACTTGAAAAAAGATATTTGACTATTTGTTTTACTCTGTCTTGTGGAATTAATTATTTTAAATAATAACACTGAATTTTTTATATTATCTGGAGATACTTTGGTTATTTATTTCTTTACATACCATTACTGATGGATTTTTCTCTTTTACATTGTGAGTTTATATTGTGTTCTTTCTTCTATACAGTATCCATAATATTTCTTAGAAAAACGTTTTATCGCTTGGTTGAATTATTTTACTCTGCTTTCTACAGAACTACGAGACTTAATACTAATTTATATCCATGAAACAAATATTACTGCCAAAACACTGTAGCAAAATTAATAGAAAATTATTGACGAACCAAAAGTCATATGCATTTTAACGACGTCTTCCAATTCACTCAGCTTTTCCTTGCTGATGATAGTTTACTCCAGAATACTTAAATAAGCTAGAATTAACCAAAAATATAAATACTAAATTACTGGCTGAATATATATATATTCATTTTCTTAAATGAGCTGAATATAAAATAAGATACGAAAAAGATAACATGAAATACAAACTAATTCATAATGATAATAGGGCGTGTCTGTGTGTGTAGGTGGGTGGGTGTGACCGCCATAACTCCAAGAGGAAAGAACCTAGAAACCTGAAACTTTGCACATTTACTATATGAACCCTGAGGGTGTGCACCTGGGTATTATTACTTATCCATCTGCGTCCACACGTCACGAGCGCATCTCTTTGTGAGGAAAGCAAGCGAAAAACAAATAGAAAGGAATAAGTGATTGTCATAGCTCCAAGAGGAAAGAACCTAGAAACCTGTAATTTTGCACCCATACTAAATTGACCATGAAGATTTGTGCCTGGGTATTATTACTTATCTACTTGCGTGCGCGTGCGCATCTCTTTATACGAAAAACCCCATAGTAAAGAAATGTGACTGCCTTAGCTCCAAGAGGAAAGAACCTAGAAACCTGAAACCTTGCACACATACGAAGTGGACCCTGAGGGTGTACACCTGGGTATTGTTACTTAACCGCGTGCGCGTGCACATCTTTTGTAAGGTAAGCGAGCGAAAAACCACATAGAAAAGAA